TCAGCCAAGATCCATCTGACATCAGCAATGAAATCCCTCATTCTGTGCCCTCTTCTGAATCCAGCTTGCATTTCTGGAAGTTCTCTGTCAATATACTGCTATAACCATTTTTGAATTATCTTCAGCAAGATTTTACTTGCATGTGATATTAATGATATTGTTTGATAATTTCCACATTCTGTTGGATCACCTTTCTTTGTGGTGGGTATAAATGTGAATCTCTTCCAATCAGTTGGCCAGGTAGTTGTCTTCCAAATTTCTTGGCATAGATGAGTAAGTGCTTCCAGCGTAGCATCATTTGTTGAAACATCTCAGTGGGTATTCTGTCAATTCCTGGAGCCTTATTTCTGTCAATTTCTTCAGTGTAGCTTCAACTTCTTCATTCAGTACCATTGGTTCTTGATCATATGCCACTTCCTGAAATAGATGAACATTCATCAATTCTGTTTGGTACAGTGACTCTGTGTATTCCTTCCATCTTCTTTTGATATTTCCTGCATCATTCAATATTTTGCCCATAGAATCTTTCTATATTATAACTCGAGGCTTGAATTTTTTCTTCAGTTCTCTCAGCTTGAGAAATGATGAGCCTGTTCTTCTATTTTGGTTTTCTAACTCCAGGTCTTTGTACATTATAATAATTGACTGTCTTCTTGAGCTGCTCTTTGAAATCTTCTGTTTGGCTCTTTTATCTTGCTATTTCTTCCATTTGCTTTAGCTACTCTCCATTCAAGACCAAGTTTTAGAGTCTGTTCTGACATCCAGAACAGACAAAAAAGACATTTTTTGTCTTGTCTTCCTTTTCTGTCTTTTTTAAATGACTCTTGCTTTCTTCACGGATAATGTTCTTGATGTCATCCCACAATTCGTATGATTTTTGGTCATTGGTGTTTAATGCGTCAAATCTATTCTTCAGATGGTCTCTAAATTCAGGTGGAGTATAATCAAGGTCATATTCTGGCTCTTGGGGACTTGTTTTATTTGTCTTCAGCTTGAACTTGAACTTGCATATGAGCATTTGATGGTCTGCTCCACAGTTAGCTTCTGGCCTTGTTTTGGCTGAAAATATTGAGCTTCTCTGTTGCCTCTTTACACAGATATGGTTGATCTGATTCCTGTGTATTCCATCTGGTGCTGTGCTGGTATTGTCTTGTAGCTACCTTGTGGCTATGACTCAGGGCTGCACAGTCATGACTCATACCCTGAACACCATGTAGTCAAGTGGTCAAGCCCCAGAACCAATCCTGTAACCCTTTTTAATCTTCAGTTTTGTATGTATCCTCAACATGGTCCTTTCCCCAATTCTGTAGTTCTGCCTGCAACAGTAATGAATTGGCCTGCCACCATTGATGATTTTGTGCTGATTTTGTTTGTACACTATCGAATATAATGAACACTACAACTGTGACTTAGTGGACCCCATTCAGTTTCTGTACTCGGTACACAGTGATGGTTTTCCTTATCCTGGATGATAGTCTTTGTTTTGTCTTTGTCTTGGCTAAGGCTTAATAAAAGAGTCTCAATAGCACAAATTTGAATCTGCAGTCTCTTTTCTTCTCCTAACACAAATCCTAACCCCTTGGATAGTGCCTGGAGTTGGAGTTGACTCAATGACAACTGGTTTGGTTTTTTTTAAAAATATCTATTGATGTAACCTTATTTGGAAATTTTCTTTGTTATGTGAGGTTATATTATGGTAGAAGGAGTTTGATGGTGCAGTACCTCAGGCATTTGACTGCTAACTAGAAAGTTGGTGGTTCAAACCCAGCAACCACTCCATGGAAGGCAGATGTGGCAATCTACTTACATAAAGAATTACTGCTTTGGAAAGTCAATAGGGGTCACTATGAGTTGGTTGTTGTGGTTGTTAATGTGCCATCAAGTTGGACCCGACTCATAGCAACCCCTCCTTGGGTCCGAGGCAGTATCACTATGGAAGTAAATTGCCCAACCTTCCTTCCACTGTGAGTGGGAGTCGATCCTAAATCAAATCATGTTTTAGTTATGAAGGACAGGATTAGACAGATGTCATGTGAGGATCACCAAGGAATCAAGAAATGCTGGGACTATGGAAGCTGAGAGACAAGGATCTTCTCTTTGAGCCAACACCCTGATGTTAGACTTCTAGCCTCCTGAACTGTGAGAAAACAAATTTTGTTCTTTAAAGACACCCAGTTGTGGTTATTTCTGTTATAGCAGCACTAGGAAATGAAAAGAATGCCTTAGACTAATCAGGACAAGCCTAAAGTCCAACATAGTGAGATTTAATGGCTCATTGGAATGAGGGAGACTGCACATTAAGGTAGCTCAGTGGCACAAAATGTTGAGCACTAGATGACTAGCAAAAAGGTGGGCTGTTCAAACTCACCCAGAGGCACCTTGGAAGACAGGCCTGGCTTTTGAAAGTTGCTCTGACACACATAGGATCCCCGTGACTCAGAACTGAGTTAACACTCTGGTAGCATAGTGCCTAAAGCACTTGACTGCTAACCAGAAGGCTGGCGGTTCAAATCTACCAGCCACTCCTCGGAAGGAAGGTTGGGTAATCTACTCCCGTAGTGATACTGCCTCAGAAACCCAAGGAGGGGTCGCTATGAGTCTGGTTCAACTCGAAGGCACAAAACAACAACAACAACAGTGCTTCTAACAGTTTAATTCTGATTTGACGCCCTGGTGAGAATTTACATTTGCACTCCAGATACACTGAATCAGAATTTAGTTTCAATATACATAAGAATCACCCTGGGATCCTGTTAAAATGTACATTCTGATTCAGTATATCTGGGGTGGAAATACAAATTTTCACCAGTGGGTCAAACCTGAATGAATGGGTTGGAAGCCCAGGTTGTTTGTGGCTTGGGCTCTAGGTTTTGACAAAGGTGAAGTTCCAGATGGAGCCACAAGGTGGCACAGTGATTCTATGGCCAAAAAGCCCACAAAAAATTGTTGGAAATTCTGGTATTTGTCAGAAACTCCAGGAGAGTAGCAGGTTATCTGGAAATGGGCCAGGGGGATGAGAGACCTCAGTGAGGTGGCAGGAAGTCTAGGGAGGAGAGTCATGGCTGGCGGAGGGAAAAAGGAAGTGAAAGGCACCCAGTGAGGCCTTGGGAGGGGCTGTGGCCAGAAAGCCCACAAATAATTCATTCTTTTTTCCACAAATATTTGTTGCACATATACTGTGAGCCAGAATTGGTGCCATGTGCACAATCAACCCCCTCAAATGGCTCATGGTTTTGCTGATAACACTGACACATGTGCACATTACTTCTGTACAATGTGAAAATAATGATCCATATAATTGTTGTTGTTAGTTGCTGTCAAGTCAGCCCCTGACTCATGGTAACCCCATGCACAATGGAATGAAATGCTGTCCAGTACTGCATCCTCCCCACGGTTGGTTGCAGATTGAACCATTTTGACCCATAGGGTCTTCAATGGCTGAATTTTGGAAGTAGATGCTGGGTCTTTCTTCTTCCAACTTATAGAATAGGTGAGAGATTGTTGTTAGCTGCTGTCAATCACTTCTGGCTCACAGTGACCCCATGGGTGCAGAACTGATGTCCCCATTCTACTCAGTTTTCAAGGCTGTAATCTTTCAGAAGCAGACTGCCACCAAGCCTTTCCTCTAAGGCACCTCTCACAAAACTCACTGTCATCATGTTGATTCTAACTCATAACAACCCTCACTGGGTTTCCAAGGCTGTAAATCTTTACAGAAGTAGACTGCCCCATCTTTCGTCTGTGGAGCAGCTGGTGGGTTCCTTGCACCAATCTTTGGGTTAACAGCCAAATGCCCTAACCACTATACCACCAGAGCAAGCACCTCTAAACCAAAAACCAAATCAAACCCACTGCCATCAAGTTGATTCCAACTCATAGTGACCCCCATTGGGTTTCCAAGGTGATAAATCTTTATAGAAGTAGATTGTCCAGTCTTCCTTCCATAGGGTGGCTGGTGAGTTTGAACTGCCAACCTTCTAGTTAGCAGTCTAGTTAGCAGTCAAATACCTTACACACTGTGCCACCAGAGCTCCTTAAATCACTGACCTTTCAGCTAGTAGTTGAGTGCTTAACCATTTATGCCATTCAGAGGCTCCAGCTAGGTAGCTAGCTGCTGTCAGGTTGACTCTGACTTATGGTGACCTTAAGTAAAACTGAACTAAACATTGCCTGGGCCTGCCTCCTCCTCATGATTGTTGACATGTTTGAATCCATCATTGCAGCTACTGTGAGCCAATCTACTCACCAAGGGTCTCTCTCACCCTCACCAACTCTGTTCTTGACCAAACATGATGTTCCTCCTCTAGCAATTAACCCTTCCTGATGACATGTCCATGGCATCTAGCTTGACTGAGGCACTGTCTTCCTGGTCACCCCAACCTTCCCTTCTCACAGCCACAGCCTGGTCTTGGTCACTACTCTTCTTCACTGTGGAAATTGATAGCTGACACATCTCCCTTTGTTTCATGACTTGGCCTCCCAGCTTATTGGCTCAAGTTCCCCTACAGCAGCTATTCTTTTATTTCACAGCCCCTCAGGAGCAGTGACCTTCCGTGCTTCTCCCTGTATCAGCCTCTTCTAGCCTTTACTTCCTCCTTTCTTTTCCCAAATCATTTCCCATGATGCAGCATATGGGCCACTCTTTAAAAACATCCTAATCCTCTGGTCTCATTCTTCTTTCATCATTCCAGCTTCTACTTCAGATGAGCCTAGACTTGTTCTGCAATTGTGCAGAGGTGCTCTTCCTGAGAAAATCACCCAATAGGAGAGAGTGTCAGGAGAGGAAGAGAAAAGAGGCTACTGCTGCTAGAACATTCTTTAAGGAGGTTGAGGGGAGTGCTCATCTGAAGGCTTTAGGGATCTCTTGGAAAGAAGAGTTTTTGATGAGAGTAAAGAGGCTGTGGGTGTGTAGTTGCCAAGGACTGAAGTGAGGGGAGAATTTGGAAATGACTGTGGAAGAAAATGAGAGAGAGCTGACTGGAGAATTGTGCCAGGGTCACTGGGCAGCTTTGAGGGTCCAGTTGAGGATGTTGACCTTCGATTTTTCCTTGGACTAATTCTTGTGGTGGTTGTTTTTTCTCTGTTAATATTCAGCTGCAGAGATGAGTGTTGACTTTATCAGGGGCTGAGGTTTTGCCAAGAGGCCTACTAGCACACTGGTTAAGCACTCAGCTGCTAACCAGAAAGTGAATGATTCAAAGCCACCAGCCACTCCATGGGAGAATGATGTGATAGTCTGCTTCCTGAAAGATTATAGCCTTGGAAACCTTATGGGGCAGTGCTATTCTGTCCTGTAGGGTCACTATGAGTTAGAATCAACTTGACAGTAATGTCCTGAGTGACTGTAGCCTGTGCAAACACTGCCCTTCTGTTCTCCCATGGTTGATCCCTCCAAGGATAGTATCTATCTGTTGTAAATGTTCACCCAATATGCCTATTGTTTGGCTGGAAGCCACAAGAGTAAGTTCAGTTCCAGACCTGAAGGGTAACTAAGGGCCATAGTCTCAGGGGTCTCACCAGGCTCTATCAGACCAGAAAGCCTGGTCCTTTTTTTTTTTTTTTTTAATGATTTGGGGTTTTGTTCCACATTGTTCTTCCACTCTATCCAGGATCTAGAAGTAATACATTTTAAGAGATGTCCTGTGAGTGGTTGAGGAGTAATCAAATAAATTGATAGTGGATGTTTTCCATAGCACTTACTGCCTTCATTGGAGTCCCTGGATGGCACAAAGGGTTAAGTACTAGACTACTAACTAAAAGATGGGTAATTCAAATCCACAAAGAGGTGCCTTGAAAGAAAGGCCTGGTGATCTGCTACTGACAGCCCTGAAAACCCTATGGAATGTAATGCCACTCTGTAACATATGAGGTCACTATGAGTTGAAATCAACATTATGGCAACTTTTTTTTAAAAATCAACTTCAAATATACTCTGTAATTTTTATGTTGTCTATTGGATGTCTTTGCCAGGTAGAATACAAACTTCAGAAAGGCAGGGATTCTTGTTTTCTTCACTCCTGTGTTCCCAGATTCTAGAAGGATGCCTGGCATTTAGTGCTCAGTAAATTAATGTTGAATGAATGTACAATGGAAAGTTAAAAAGTAAGCTATCTGGGCTTCCCAGTTATGCTAGCAAGGGCAGCTCCTGCTGAGCTTGAGACACTCTAACCCCTGCCCCAGGAGGAAGTCACAGTCGGCCAGTCCCTGCTCCAAGGTAACCATGTGTGACCAAAAGGTCTGATCAAAAATGCAGACATGTTGGAGGAGGTGCAACTGAACTCGGTGGACTGTGGGACTCAGGTGTTGCAGAAATACAACAGAGAGAAGAATATTGTGGCCCAGATCAAAAAGGAGTTTGATAAGAAGTACAACCCCACCTGGCACTGCATCATGGAAGGAAACTTTGGTAGTTATGTGACACATGAAACTAAGCAATTCTTTTACCTGGGCCAAGTGGCCATGGTTCAGCTCAAATCTGGTTAAAGCATGGACTATGCCCACAAACCCAGTGACCCATCCAAAAACAAGGACTGCAGCCTAAATCCCAAATACTAGAGACTGAAATCTTCAGCTAAGGGAACACCATCTTCGATCCTTCATTGTGTTCATGGCCTTCTCTGTACTAGTTTGTTGTGGTTATAAAATAATTAGCAAAACAGCTTACATTTGTATTTCTTTCCTTCTTTTTTAAAAATAACTTTTTAATTGTAATTTGGGTGGAAGTTTACAGAGCAAATTGGTTTTCCATTCAACAATTCATACACATTTTGTTTTCTAACATTCATTGTAATCCTCACAACGTAACAGTACTCTTCCTACTTCCTCTCAGTGTTTACCATTTCCCTTTGTCCTTCTTTCCTATCCCTTCTTGCCTTCTGAGCTTTATCCCTGGGCAAATGCTGCCTTTTTGATCTCAAGTGGTTGATTATTCTAACAACAGCATACATCCCTGGTATTACTGTTTGTCTTTATCTCCTATAATATACTTTCCCCCTGCCTCATGCTTTTTCTTTTCTCGAAAACCATTCCATTAAAAAAAAAAAAAAAATCTGTTGGAGATGTATGTGTGTTAAAAAAGGAAAAAGGAAGCCATCTGAAAAAGGCTGTCCACAGAAAGGCCCTCTGCAAGGATCCCACCTGCAGACATCTGCAGGAGTGCTTGATCAGCACTGTCCTAGGAGAGGGGTTGCTGCACTAGCTTGATGGGTAAACCTCCTGGAGGAGATGTGCACCCTTTTTCTTGGCTCCAAACTCCAAACTCTAAGAGAAACAACCACACCCAAAATAGAGACACTGGAATGTGGTTACTTCTACATTTTCAAAGTACAAATTAGGTTCATTGTACTGATAGCATAGTGCCTAAGGCATTTGACGGCTAACCACCAGCCACTCCTCAGAAGGAAGATTGGGCAATCTACTTCCGTAGTGATACTGCCTCGGAAACCCAAGGAGGGGCCACTATGAGTTGGGTCTGACTCGATGGCAAATAACAACAATAACATACCTTAAAAAGAGGCATTGGTGGTTCAGTGTGGAACTCTCTTTTTCCATGTGAGAAACTGGGTTCTATTCCCAGACAACACACTTCATATGCAACCACCACCAGTCTGTCAGTGTAGGCTTGTATGTTGCTACGATGCCATACAGGTTTCAGTGAAACCTGCAGACTAAAACGAACTAGGAAGAAAGACTCGAAGATCTACTTCTGAAAATCAGCTATGAAAACCCTATCAACCACAATGGTCCGCTCCTCAACCAATCATGGATAGTGCAAGACTAGGCAGCGTTTGTTCCGTCATGCACAGTGTCTCAATGAGTGGGGGGCCCGCTTGAGGGCAGCTAGCAACAACCACAACATAACCTTAAAAATATCATACCAATAAATGTTAGCAAACTAATTCTTTTCTTCCTGTTTGAAATTTAATTGCTGATTCATTGGAATAGCATCTATTTTCTTGGAAATCTAATAATGGTAATTTGTAGTATTGCATGAAAGGACTATATACAAGTATTATGATTTTATTTAATTGAGCATGGAAATCATATCAAATGAAATAGTCTTTAATTAAACATACATAATTTTGAAAAGACTCAACACTCCATGTGCATTACAGAGTATAGACAAACCATAACTTCATTACAGTTCAAATTTTATAATAACTGATTTCCTGTTACAGCAATAAAATAAGCATCAATAAATCATTCCAAAAAGACTTTATTTTCAGAACAGTATTTGATCATTAAATTATTTAAAATGAAATGGACATTCTGGAAAAATTGCAGAAATACATTTCAACCAAAAGACAACTCTTTTTACAAAGGGTCAATATCTACAAGGCATACTGGAACAAGAAACATCAGAATTATTTGATATATGTCAACTTCATGATATGTATAATCACTGTAAATAAAAACATTAGGCCAAGATATATTTCAGTTAGCCTATTCACAGAAGCAAACAAACACACAAAATGAATTGTTTCCCAGAATATTTAGAGAAAAAGACTGGGAATATAGTTCTTTACTATAAACATCCATGGAGGAGATTATGTATAGTCTCAGTCCAACAAAAATGTACACCCATAGCTTACTCAGCATGTTTATGTGAAAATCTTAAAGATACTCTCCCCTTCTATGTGTCCTATATAGAATCTATACAGCAGATTTGTTGAATTCTTATTAATTTGTATTCAACATTAAGTTGAATACCTTTAGAAAACTTTTATAAAAGATAACTAATATTGCCTTATCCTCTTTTCTTCTATTTTTTTGGCACATAGCTCAGTTCCTTATTTTATTAGGGATCAATAAGAGAGAGAACATATATTCCTCATTTAAGCTAAGCCTTACCTTTTTTTTTTTAAATTAAACTTTTTATTCTGAGATAATTGTGGATTCACATGCAGTTGTAAGAAATAATACAGAGATCCTGGGTATCCTTTACCCAGTCATAACATCCTGCAAACTACAGTATGGTGTTACAACCAGGAAACTGGCATTGACTCATTAAGACACAAAATAGTTGCAGCACCACAGGGATCCCTTGTGTTGCCCTTTTATAGTCATCTCACCTTCCTCAGGTTGCAAGGGCTACAACAATGGGCTCAAGCAAGGCAATGATTGTGAGGGTGGCACAGGACTGGGCAATGTTTCGTTCTGTTGTACAGAGGGTTGGTATGAGTGGAAACCAACTTGACGCCACTTAACAACACCACCTCTCTCACTCCCTCTGCCCCCAACTTCCCTGGCAACCACTAATCTCCATGCCTATAATTTTGTCATTTCAAAAAATGTTAAATAAATGGAATCATACAGTATGTGACCTTTTGGCATTGGCTTTTCTCACTCAGCACAATTCTCTTGAAATTCATTCAAGTTCTTGCTGTCTCATTCCTTCTTATTGCTGAATAGTATTTCACAGTACGGAGGTACCACAGTTTATTTCACCATTCACACATTAAAGGACATCTGAGTTGTTTCCAATTTTTTACTATTATGAATAAAGCTGCTGTGAACATCCATGTACATGTTTCTGTGTGAACACAAGTTTTCATTTCTCTGGGAAAAATTTGACATATATGCCCATGAGTGTAATTGCTGGATTGTATGGCAGTTGCATGATTGGTTACTTTTATAAAGAATTTCCAAATCGTTTTTCCAGTGGCTGTTCCTTTTTACAGTCCCACCAACAATACTTGGGGGATCCAGTTTCTCTGTATTCTTGCTAACATTTGATGTTGTCACTCACTCTTTTTTTTTTTTTTTTTTTAATTTTAGCAGTTTTGTTAGCTGTGTAGTGATACTGCATTTTGGTTTTAATTTCCATTTCTCTAAAGTCTGGTGGTGTTGAACATTTTTTTTTTTTTAATTTTAGCAGTTTTGTTAGCTGTGTAGTGATACTGCATTTTGGTTTTAATTTCCATTTCTCTAAAGTCTGGTGGTGTTGAACATCTTTTCATGTGCTTATGTGCCATATCCTCTTCAGTGAAATGTCTTGTTCATAGTCTCCATTTTCTAATTGGATTGTCTGGGTTTTTTTTTAGTTTTTTTTTTTTTAATTGTAATTTGGGTGAAAGCTTACAGGGCAAATTCATTTTACAGACACCAGTTCACACACATTTTGTTTCATGACACTGATTGTCATTCCCATAATTTGACAGCTCTCTTGCCACTTCTTCCCTGTGGAACAGTTAAGTTTCGAGAGTTCTTTCTATAGCCTAGACATTAGTTCTTTGTCACATATGTTTTCTCCCTGTTTGTAGCCGTCTTTTTATCTTCTTAATAGGATCTTTTGTAGAGCAAAAAGTTTTTTTTAAATTTTGATGAAGTTTAACTCACCAAATTTTCTTTATGTGGATTGTGCTTTTGGTTTCAAGTCTAACAACTTTTTGCTTAGCCCTTAGTCATGAAGCTTTTCTTCAATTTTTCATTGCTAAGAGTTTTATTGTTTTACATTTTATAGTTAGATCTATGCTCTATTTTGAATTAATCTTTGTATAAGGTGTGAGATTTAGGCTGAGGTTAAATTTTTGCCTACGGATATCCACTTAGTTCAGTACCATTTATTGAAAAGAGAATCCTTCCTCCACTGAATTATTTTTGAACCGTTGTAAAATATCAGGTAAGTGTATTTATGCAGGTCTCTCTCTGGGCTCTCTATTCTGTTCAAATGATCCATGAACATCCTCTGCCAATAACACACTGTCTTGATTACTGTAAACTAAAGTTTGAGGTTATTTGTGGAGTATTTTTGAGCATGTAGTTTGTACTTCCATTCCTCCCCACCTTACTTCTAAATTGGAGGTAGTAATAATTTACAACTTGCAAAATATGAAATACCCTCAAAATTACCCTACTCTTATGTATTAGAAATTGGCATTGTTAGGGACTCCTTTGAGCATGGGCTTATGGTAAATAAGGAATTTCATGCAACTTAACTTTTTTTTAGTAACAGGCACTTAAAAATATACTTTGACAAGTCAAACACTCTTTATGTCTTAATTATTCCAACAAAAATGTAATCATCAATAACATTTCTATTTTAAAAAATGTTTATTTTCTACATATGATCATGTGTTTTTATGTTCTATAACAAACCAAACCCACCAAAGAGGGTATATAGTCATTATAGAAAGATAATTTGGGTACTGCTAGATTCTTCTCAGAAGGAAGATGGGGCAATCTACTTCCGTAGTGATACTGCCTCGGAAACCCAAGGAGGGGTCGCTATGAGGCAGGTCCATAACAACAACAACAAAAAAAAATTCTTTGCAAACTTCGGTTACAAGAAGTCTTAGATATGTACACATAGGCTCAGATAGGCCTTAGCTGTGTGTACAACTACAGTCTAATTTCTTTCAAAAACAGAAGTCTTTGTATATAATTTGTAGAAAATATGAAATCTGTAGTAAGACACAAACTTGAGACATCTTTTTTTTTTTTTTTTTTTTTTCCCAGTGAGATCCTATTCTTCATTTCCTCAGTGGGGTACCCCTTGAGACATCTTTTTTTTTTTTTTTTTGGTCAATGGCAGTGGCAAATCATCTCCAGGCAGGTAAATTATTCAGTTTTACAATCGCTTTACTGACTTGCCAGTTCAGTGACTACCTGTGCATTTATATAACTCTTTTGTCTCAGTCTGAAAACTGGAAAGCTTTTAGGTATTACTCTCTCTCTCTCTCTTTTTTTTTTTTTTTTTTTTGGCTCTCTGTTACATGCAGTGAGTTCTGGAGTCTGTACTTGGGCATTTGACTTAACTTCTCTAAGCCTCAGTGTCCTTGTCTATAAGTGGCAATGATGACACTCGTCTCATTGGTTGTAAGGCTGAAATGAGATGACTTGTGCAAAGGGCCTGGACATGGAGTGGGCCGTCAGATACGCCTGACTTTTTTCCTTCCTTCTCTTACACACTTGCTCCCGTCTCCCGTCTCCCCTCTCCCAGAAGTGTCCTCCACATACCACAGAATGAGGTGCTTCTTATTCTGGGTGCCCCAGAGGAGCAGCCCCTGTCTAAAGCGTGAGCTGCAGATTTTATGGGGAGGCTGATGCCAAAGTCACCTCATCCTCTTAATGTGCTACCATGGCTTGCTTATGAGGAGCAAGGCTGTGCACTAATCTCTGTATGTTCTCATGCTGCTCATCAATTTACAGTGGGGAAAAAAGCTTCATAAGTGATGTATACATTCTCACAAATGTGCCTTAGTAATGCATTTGCAATCCAGTAGCACAATGAGTAATCCATAGACAAACAGTCCTCCACCCTCTCCTGAAACACAATATTGTGGCTGTATGATGCATATTTAGTTCTTCTGTGGTTGCAACGAGCTTAAACCCAGACACTGCTTTTAGCACAAAAAGCAACAATACTCTCATGATATAAAGTAATTGCATTGTACTTACAGACATAATTTGTTTTCCTAAAGAATGGAACAGCAACTGTTTCAACACGTCATTTTGACAACCAATGGTGATCCTCAAATAGGTGAGTCTGGATTGAATACAACTTAAACAAAGCCTGTATAGGTGAAGAACCTGTGTGAATTGAGGATTTGCAAATGACCACCTTACTTTCAAGTCTAGCATAGGCTTCCCTGTTCATCCTCTTTCATTCTGCAGGAAGGATGACAGGGCTGCTATGAATGCTTCAACAAAGAGACAGCAGGCAATAGCTGTCTGGCAATGTCACATAAAGGTTTTCATGTTCAAGCAAACACTGGGGACTTTTTTCTTACTCCTTCAGGCCTTTCTTGGCACTGCTTTGAAATATTCTTCCCTTGAAATCTCAGATACTCCTCCGTACCATTTCTGAAGCCAGATATGTTCTATCTTCATCTTCATAAAGAACCATTCATATTGACGAGGCCACTTCCTCATAACTGGGTGCCTGTAGGAACAAAGGAGAGACTGCATGGAAGCTGTTCAGTGGTGTCCCTAGGGTTGGTGTCACCCAGTGCAGTAACTCATGGTGTCACCACCCCATGGACACCTCCTATACCAGATCATAATGAATCCTTAAGAATGTTTATTATCAACTGCAATCATAGAATAATGTTGAATATGTTAAGTTGCTTAAATAGAGTATTTCTTAGATTATATGAATATAACAAAATTTTTTAATAAAATATTTCTACATTGAGTCACACATTATTAGTTGCAACATTATTAATTAGGTGCAAGCCTTTTTTAAAATTTTTTTTCTTTCTTTTCCTTTAATTACTATTTCATTCACAAAGCAGTTATTGATATAGGTTCACAAATACTAATTACCACAATTTTGTAGCTAAAATGCCAGAAAACTTGACAAAATTCCCAACTTCAGAAACACCGACAGGAACAAGAACAACTGTATGTGCTTGTAGTGTGGCAGATAAAATCACGTGGTTCGAAACATCATTGGAAATATAATAATGACAACTGACCAGAGCACATTAGAAAGTTCAGAAAGTAAATTAGCATAGAGTTTTAGCTTTGTAAGTATATTGATACATATAAGCTGGGCTTATGAAAAATGTTTTTGTTGTTATAAGTAGCTTCATGAATATTTTTATAGAAAACAAATTTCTACTGAAACACTGCACAAAAACTTTATGGACAGTCATTTTGGGGTCACCCCCTCTGACAGTGTCAGCTGGTGTGATACGCACCCCACCACACACACCTCCCTGAAGTTCACTCCACTGAAGCTGTTCTTACCAAAGAGGTATGCCTTTTGTGAGCACAGTTAAGAATCTACATTTCCTCAGCCAACCCTTCTGACTCCAGGTCTCATCTGAGCTGAGAGATGCTCAAACAAGCCAGAGCAGAAGCCAAGAAGACTGGTATTGAAGCCTGAGAGAGCCTTGTTGTTGTTGTTGTTGTTGTTATTATGTGCTGTCAAGTCAGACCCGACTCATAGCAACCTCTCCTTGGGTTTGCAAGGCAGTATCACTACGGAAGTAGATTGCCCCATCTTCCTTCCCAGGAGTGGCTGGTGGGTTTGAACCGCCAGCCTTCTGATTAGCAGTCAAGTGCCTTAGGCACTACACTACTAGAGTTCCCGAGAGAGCCTTAGGAAACTATAATCCCTACACCTAGTGGCTAAAAGCTCAAGACTTGAGCCAGACTTCTTGGCTAAACCCCAGTTCCACTGCGGACAAGCTGTGACACCTTGGGTATCCTATTTGCTCTCTCAAGCCTCAGTCTTCTTGTCTGTCATGTAGAATGATACTGCTGGTGTTCAGTCATAGGACTGTATGGGGAACAAACGAATAAGCACATGCTAGCATTTACTGAGCATTTACTCCACTCAGGGGCTAAACTAACAAACTACCTTAGTTTGTTAGTTTAGCCCCTGCATGGAGTAAGTGCTCAGTAAATGTCAGTTATTGTTATCTATGGAGTCCCTGGGTGGTAAGGTTAATGCACTCAGCTGTTAACAAAAAAGTTAACAGCTTTTGAGTCCACCCAGAGGCACCTCAGAAGAAAGGCCTGGTGATCTATTGAAAATTAGCCATTGAAAACCCCATCGATTACAGTTCTACTCTGACTGACACACATGGGATTGCTGTGAATCAGACTTGATAACTTGTTTCTCTTAATTGTTATTGTTAAACATAAAGAACAGTTTTATGGATGATTTCTGTATGAAATGTTAAGAAAGAAAAAACAACTACGAGCCTGTGAAACAAATCTGTTCAGAGAAAAACTTCCATTCCTGCATCGTGGTTGGACTGTTGAGCCACAGTTGAGCCAGAGTGCACAAGGAACACCATCCCATTCTGCCTTCTCTTACTTACTGAGTTTCCTTCTCTTCCTAAACACACTGTGATATCCTGAAGGGCAGGAGCTGTGGCTCACTTTTTTTTCCTAACTTGATGAAAATAAGAATTTTCATTATATCAAAAAACATAAAGTTCAAAGACTAGTTGCAAACTGGGAAAAACATTTGCAACAATGAAATAATATAATAGGTTAGTGTTCTTTTCTTTTAAAAAAAATTATGTTGAAACAATCATAAACTTAAAAAGAAGTTGAAAGTATAGTAGGAAGAACTTTTTTTTCCTGTACTATTTGAAAGAAAGATGCTGACCTGATGCCCTATCAGGTCATACTCCTACAGGCGAGATAACAACTATTGTTATTTTAAGCCTCTTAGCTTTGTAATAATCATAACTGGCACAGATTTTGGTACCAGGGAGCAGAGTCTGTAGTAATAAAACCTAAGTCACGTGGCATGTTAGTAGAAGCCTAAAGGACCTCAAAGGAGCTCTAGTGGTTCAGTGCCTAAGGCATTTGACTGCTAACCAGAAAGGGTGGCAGAGAAAACCCACCAGCCACTCTGCAGTTAGAAGAGAGGGCAACCTACTTCCTTAAAGATTTGCTATCTTAGAAACCCAGTGGGGGTCGCTATGAATCGGAATCGACTTGATGGCAGTGGGTAAAGGACCTCAAGGAGGCTGACTGTGGGAGCTTAAAAGAAAGTAATGTTATTGAAAGCTGAATGAAAGGGGGCCCATGTTATATAGCAGTGGGGAATTTGACAACATGGTTCCTGCTGTAATGTGGGAAACTAGAAATGTACCTAATGAACTCAGTGGTCTAAGATTTCCAGGCCACTTGGAAATGAGCCACCTGGCTTCTTCATCATAAAGCGCAAGAGGAGAGAGGTGAACTAAAGAATGAGTCGCTGAAAATAAAACACACATATATTCATGTTTACATTTCTGTCTCTATATTGAAAACCACGAGTGCACATTGATACATCCAATACCACAGAGTTGGATTCTAGTTTTCTCCCTTTATATATTTGGAACTCTTTTCCATGGCAGTGAGAAACCTGGCTTCCATTATCCTCATTACATTTACTTACCTGATTGTTCCCATCTGTGTGGGTTGTAGATGCCTCATTCAATTTAGCATCTGCCTCTGTGCTACTCTTCCACTAATTTAGACAACTGCCAATCTGTTTGTTTTCATTGCCTGCACTCCTGTGTGGACATGCCCCACTCCTTGTCCAGCTTTGTCCAGTTCTGACTTTCCATTACAGCTTCCTTTTCATACTGCTAAGACTCCAAGACCCCTTGACAGGCCATTCCTCCATGTAGACGCCATCTTACCTTGCACGAGCTCTGACATGCATGCTGGGCTGCCCCCCACATTGTTGCCTTTATCCCCTGCCCTGGCTCTACTCACCAGATTCGGACTTCCCCATGCTGGGACTCCCTGTCACTCTACAGCAGTGGTTCTCAAACTCTATAATGCACAGCAACTTCCTGGGGCATGCTTTTTTAAAATATAGATTGAACCTCATCTCCAGATAATCTGATTCAGTAAGTCAGTGGGCTGGGGGTAGGGGGCAGAAAGCCACATTTACACAGGTTTTGCCATTTTCTGAAAGTAGAGTGTTCCTATGAAACCTTTTGTAAGCTGAAATGTGGGAAAGTAAAGAAGCAATTATCATTAATTTGTATGGGAAAAAGAGTGTTCCCAGACCCAAAAAATAACCTATCAAATCATGCCAAAACCTAAAATAACCCTAACAGATAGTAAATGCAGGAATGATACATGAGAAATGCACAGCCTATCTGGTGGTGTAATGGTTCAGGCATTTGTCTGCTAACCAAAAGGGTGGTGGTTCAAACCTACCAGGTACTCCACAGAAGAAAGATGAGGTGGTCTCCTTTTGTAAAGATTTACAGCCTTGGAAACCCAATGGGGCTATGAGTCAGATCAACTTGATGATACTAAGTTAAACACACACACACATATACTTATAAGGAGCTCTTGTAGCGTAGTGCCTAAGGCACTTGACTGCTAACCAGAAGGCTGGCAGTTCAAACCCACCAGCCACTTCTCGGAAGGAAGGTTGAGCAATCTACTTCCGTAGTGATAACTGCCTCGGCAACCCAAAGAGGGGTCGCCATGAGTCAGGGCTGACTTGATGGCACATAACAACAACAACAAATATATATATATATATATATATATATAGTGAAATAATATATGCACAGTGTAATTAGTTCCCAGGGAAGGAGTTTGGGACACACCACTCTTGCTGCTCAGGGTGTATGCTGTCCCTTGAATGGCTCCCTGAAAAACAAACACTGAATGCTAGTTTCACTTCTCACTTTTTTTCCTAAAAGTGAAAATTCTCTTTGGATTTCTTTTCATTAGTGAAAACAGGTACTAATGTAGGTCTTTCATATAAGCAAAGTGGCATAAAACAAACTTTTGAAAAGTGGGAGGTACCTGTACAAGCACCCTAAGTGATTCTGATTTAGGGAGCCAGTGGACCACATTGAGAAACATTGCTCTATTATTTCTGGTGAGCCTAGCTGCTAACCAAAATGTTGGCGGTTCGAACCCACCTAGCAGTTCTATGGAAGAAAAGGCATGGTGTGATCTGCTTTGGATAGATTGTAGCCAAGAAAACCCTATGGAGTAGTTCTACTGTGTCACACATGAAGTTACTGTGAGTCAAGGGCTGACTGGATGGCTACTAAAAACAATATAACCTGGTGGGAGCTCTGGTAGCATAGTGGCTAAGACACTTGCCTGCTAACCAGACGGCTGGTGGTTCAAACCCACCAGCCACTCCTCGGAAGGAAGGTTGGGCAATCCTACTTCTGTAGTGATACTGCCTCGGAAACCCAAGGAGGGGTTGCCGTGAGTCAGGTTTGACTCAACGGCACGTAACAACAACAACTTCTGGTACTGTTCTTTGCTTGTAGCAGGAATTTGAAATGTGTGCTGTTTACTTGACTGCAAAGGCTCAGTTATTTTCATTTCAAGGTAGGGCACTTACAAGGGTTGGCAGCATGTAGGGAACACTTACATATCTGGAACACCTTAATGTGGGGTGCTCTCCAAAGACAGTGTCAGCCCATTTCAAGGCCATTGGCCTGGCCATTTTAGAAACAGCTACAGCCAGCCTATGGTGGGCAGTACTTGGCCAGTGAAGGAAGAAGTACAGCTCAGACCAATTACTGTAACTGGTATCAATGACATCAAAAGTCACAGCCCAGATCTTGGCTTTTAATTACTGCATATTTCTGGGCAAATCAGCTTTAAAGCATGTACAAACCTTGAAAACATAGCTTGCTTGGCAAATTCTACTTCTTCTGGAGACACTGCAATCATCTGGCCAGTGAGCGTTAACCGGGCACACCTGGGATCTTCTGGGTCAACGATGTTTTTTCTGTACACAAAGAACATTTTTCATACATTAGGACAATGATTTCACATCAGCCTGAAATACTAAGGTTTTCTGTAAAAAATTAAAGACAGCGGTCACACTACTGGTTATATCATTCAGATTCTATATAGTGTGTAATTAGCTTTGATACACTTCAGCATAGACAGTATAATAACTGTATTTTGTGTAAATCAGAGTTGTAAGGAGCTCTGGTGGCACAGCGGGTAAGGCATTTGACTGCTAACCAGAAGGTCAGTGGTTCAAACTGACAGGCTGCTTCACGGGAGGAAGATGAGGCAACCTACTTCAGCAAATATTTACAGCCTTGAAACCCCAATAAAAAAACAAAACCGAATACATTGCCATTGAGTTGGATCTGACTTATAGTGACCCCTCCTTCGGTTTCCGAGGTGTATCTCTATGGACGTAGATTACCCAACCCTTCTTCCGAGGAGTGGCTGGTAGGTTTGAACCACCAGCCTTCTGGTTAGCAGTCAAATGCCTTAGGTACTATGCCACCAGAGCTCCCAGGAAACCCAATGGGGGTTGCTATATATTGGAATTGACTGGATGGCAGTGACTTTTTTTTTTTGTTTGTTTTTTTGGTTAGGAAAGTTAGATAAGTTTTGAAGTAGTCTGATAAAGAATACATGTGCCAGACTTAACGTTTGCATGACTCTAATCAGGAGTCCCTGTTGTTGTTGTTATGTGCCGTTGAGTCAGACCCGACTCATAGCGACCCCTCCTTGGGTTTCTGAGGCAGTATTGCTATGGGAGCTCTGGTAGCATAGTGGCTAAGACACTTGCCTGCTAACCAGACGGCTGGCGGTTCAAACCCACCAGCCACTCCTCGGAAGGAAGGTTGGGCAATCCTACTTCCGTAGTGATACTGCCTCGGAAACCCAAGGAGGGGTTGCTATGAGTCGGGGCCGACTCGACGGCACATAACAACAACAACAACATTGCTACGGAAGGAGATTGCCCAACCTTCCTTCCGAGAAGTGGCCAGTGGGTTTGAACTGCTAGTCTTCCGGTTAGCAGTCAAGTGTCTTAGGCACTATGTGGTGCAAATTATTAAGTGCTCTGCTGCTAAACAAAAGGTTTGAATCTACCAGCATCTCCGCAGGAGAAAAGACCTAGCAACTTGTTTCCATAAACATTTCAGCCTAGGAAACCCTATGAGGCAGTGGTTTGGCAGTTCAAAGCCACCAAGAGGTGCCTTGGAAGAAAGGTTTGGCAATCTACTACTGAAAGAGCACAGCCTTGAAAACCCTACGGAGCAAAGGCCGACTGACACACATGGCGCTGCCATGAGTCAGAATCAACTCAATGGCAACTAACAATAACAGCAACGAGGTATTTCAATAAAGTTTTATAATTTTTATACAGGATATTATACATTTTTCTTAGATTTAGTCCTAGGCACATTACAGGTTTTGTTGCTGTCTTAAATTAGATCTTTTTTTAAAAATTGTACATTTAAAAAATTATTTTTTCCTGATAAGTAGAAACGCAATTATTTTCAGTTATCGTTGATTAATTCAAAAACCTTGTTAAGCTCTCTTCTTAATACTAATGTTTTCAGTGTCCATTTTCTTGAATTACCTATGTAGACAGTTATATCATTTATGAATATTTACTATTATTTCCCAGTCTTCATATATATTTCTATTTCTTGTTTTACTGTGTTAGCTAGAACATCTAGTAATATGGACACCCTTGTCTTGTTCCATTATATATAACCTATGTTGTAGGTTTTGATAGATAATCTTTCCCCTAGGTTGCTAGGAGTTTCTAAAAAGTCATAAATGTTTGAATTTTATGAAATATATTTTCTGTATGTTTGATGTGTTACTATAATGACCTATATTAATACATTTTCAATTTTCTGTAATGCAATTTATTTAATTTTCTAGAAGTTATATTATTTTATAAAACCCACCAGCCACTCCTCAGAAGGAAGGTTGGGCAATCTACTTCTGTAGTGATACCGCCTCGGAAACCCAAGTAGGGGTTGCTATGGGTTGGGTCCGACTCGACGGCACATAACAACAACAACATCCTGTTCATAGGAGGCACTTTGGTGGCACTGTGGTTAAAGCAATGAGCTCTTAACCAAAAGGTTGACGGTTCGACTCACAGCCGCTCTGCAGGAGAAAGATGAGGCAGTCTGTTTCCGTAAAGATTTGCAGCCCTGGAAACCTATGGAGCAGTTCTACTCTGTCCTATAGGGTTGCTATGAGTTGGAATTGACCCCTGGTAGTGGGATTTTTAAAAAAATAGTAATAGCTTTCCTTATTCATTTTTGGAATAAATCCAACTGTGTTACTAATAATCATGGAGTTTAATTTTCAAATGTCTTACTTAGGTACTTTTGTATATGTGTTCATGAATTATTTTGATATGAAATTTCCATTTCTCATAGCAATTTTACTAGTTGGTGTCAAGTTATACTGGCTCTGTAAAATGGTTAGGGAGTCTTTTTCTATCCTCTAAAACCATGAACCTTTGGAATATCTGTTCCTTGAATGTCTGGTAAAGTGAATGTATAGGCTCATCTGAGCCACTAGTGATTTTGCAAGTACATTTTAAACTTTGATTTAAATATTTTTATTTATTTAAAAATACATTTTATTGCAGTTTAGGTGAAAGTTTATGAGCAAATTAATATCCCATTCAGCAATTTAGATTGTTCTGTGTCACTCTTTGCAATGAGTCAACACTCTCCCCATTTACGTAAACCTTGGGTTCCCTGATTTGGTTTGGTCCAGTTTTCCTGACTTTGCTTTTGGGTGAATGGTGCCCCCTTTTCTTTTTCCTCTCTCTCTCTCTCTTTTTTTTTTTTTTTTTTAAAATTGTGATTTAGGTGAATGTTTACAAAGCAAATTCATTTTCCATTCCACAGTTAATACACATTTTATTTCATGACATTGATTGCAATCCCTATAACATAACATCTCTCTTCTCACTTCCTCCTTGTGCCTTCTCCTGTATCCTTTTCCTGATACCTTTTCCCTGTATCCTTCTTTCCTATGCATCCCTGCCCTCTGAGCTATCCCCCTGTGCAAATGCTGCCCTTCTGATTTTCCATGGTTGATTGCTCTAAGGAGTGTATCTATCTGGGGTAAATGTTCATCTTATAGGCCTGTCCACTGTCTGGATGGAGGCCGCAGGAATGAGTTCAATTCTAGGCCCAAAGGTGACTAGGGGCTATAGTCTCAAGGATTTTACCAGTCTCTATTAGACCAGTAAGCCTAGTATTTTCTTATGATTTTGAATTTTGTTTTACATTTTTCTCCCTTTCTATTGACGATCTCCTATTTTGATCCCTCTCTGAGTGGTTGGCAGTATAGCCAGACACCATCTAGTTCTTCTGGCCTCAGAGGCTGAGGATTGCATGGTCCATGAGTCCCATGAACTAACTCTTTCCATGTGTTTTCTTCATTCTTCTTTGCTCTGGATGAGGGGAGACTGATTGTTGCATCATAGATGGCTGCTTGCAAGCTTTTAAGACCCCAGTCACTACTCACCAAAGTAGGATGTAGAGCAATATTTTTGTGTAGTATGTTATGCCAATTGAGCTCGATGTCCCCCACAACCATGGGCAAATGGTGCCCTTTTGGACTCGTATAGTTGATTGACTTTTCAGTCCAGTCTTTTGTGTGGCTGAAAGGCAATCTCTGGGAGTGGCTTCAGTTCTAGGTTAGAAGGAAGGGTGTCTAAGGGCAATAGTCTTGGGGGTTCCATCAGACTGGTAAGTCTAATCTTTTTTTTAAAATGAATTTGAATTTTGTTCTACCCTTTTCTCCAGTTCTACCTGATATCTTCTATTGTGATCCCAGTCAGAGTGGTTGGTGGTGGTAGCTGGGTACCACCTGGTTCTTCTGGTCTCAGGTTAATGTAGTCTGTGTCTCTCCTCATTTGCTCAATTTCTCCTTCCAGTTGGTGTTTGATTCAATTCTTACCCTTCCTTTTTATGTTTAGGCTTCCAGGATTATCATCTGCATCTGTATCTTGTGTGGTTTTTTTTCTGTCTTTGCTGTAAATGGGTGTCATGGTGCATCTGACTAAGCCACTATCTTCTATTTGATTATTTTTAATGGTGCACCTGAATTCACGATTTCTGTTCCTGGGTAAGTTGTTTTGTTTAGTCCATTCAATGTAAGCTTTTAAATTTATTTGTATAAAGTTGTTCACACTATTCTTTCTCTAAATCTATGCTCATTGTGAATGTTTTTCTTTTCATTCCTCATATCATTTATTTATTCCTTCTCTCTACTTCTTCAATTTTGCCAGAAGTTTTCAAACAACCAGTTGTGGGTTGAGCTGCTCCTCTCCATTTTATCTTTTATCAAAAGCTATACATTTCTGCATTTAGCTTTCTTATATACTCTACCTTCTTTGTTTCTTTCCCCTGCTCTTCTTTTTCAAATTATTTTATTACATGCTTATTGCATTAATTTCCAATCATTATTCTTTTCTAATACAAGCATTAGGGCTATAAACTTCCCTCTAATGATCACTTTTGCTATATCTTGCTAGCATTGCTATCATTTTGGCTGAGTGCTATATAATTTCTAATTTCCATTGTGATTTATTATCCTATCAGTGAGTGCCATAAGTAGAACTCCAAGATGGTTTCCATGAGCTCTGCCCTTTAGTTTTACACCCTCTCCCTAGTGTAAGAAGCAGGACCTGTGACTTGCTTCTTGCCAACAGAACGTAGCAAAGACAATGCAATATCTTTCTCTTGCTTACAATACATTATATAAGACTCTTTCTTAGTAGAATGGAGAGACTCTTTTGCTGACCATGAAGAAGTAAGCTGCTAAGATGAGAGCTGCCTACGGACATGGCAGGTAACTCTGGGTGACCTCTAAGAGCTGAGGGATTTAGTCTGATAACTACCAAAAGAAAAAAAAAAAAAAAACAACCAAACTCCATGCCATCGTGTCGATTCCGACTCATAGCAACCCCCACGAGGTTTCTGAGCCTGTAAATCT